AAGTGGAGGAAGCAAGAAGAATGAGTTGAGTAAAGTTTGACTTATCTGACTGTTTTGTTTTCCTTACATCACCACGGACAGCCATTTGGCTTTTTCTACCTTTAAAACCCGGAGAGCAGCCAAATGGCTTTTAGCTAAGCTTTAGCTTCAGGCAAGTGGAAGCTAAATTGGCTAGTCATTCATATGTATATTAGGTTGTTAGCTGGGAATTCTGGAGGGAGGGGAGTGGGGGTGTGTGGATGAGGGGGTGGGGGAGCTGCTAAAAGCTGTGAACTTCCTTTTGTGTTCGTCTTGATGCATTCTCAATCATCCAGGGAAATAAATCTCCAAAAGTCACCAACTTGGAGTGTTTCAGTTTGCCATCTTAGGGAGAAATCAACACACATGGGTGTATGTCCTTTGTTGCTGACATTTATTGATAAAAACAGTACAAAAAAATCAACCATTTGTACACATTTTTACAAATAATTATAAAAAGTGAGTGAGTACATTTCAACATTTTCAGCAATCACTCACAATCCTGGCACTGCCATGGTATCTGTAGTCTGCATTTACCACATGTGTATCTGTTGCAGTGAACACATCGCACAGTGGCATGATTGTTCTTGCAATTGTGTTTGACCTGACACATGGCTCTTTTTCCAGGGCTCGGTGTGGAGGGTTGTGTCAAAGGCAACTGTTCTTTTCTTGCCTTCTTCGCAGCTACATGAGAGTGAGCTAACTCCCTTGCAAGCTCCACCAGGAAGTCCACCCGTCTTTCCTTCGTCCCGGAGCATGCTTGATACAGCACATGTGCATTCAGTGCTGCCATGTCAATCATGTTATAAAACACGGCAACTGGCCAGCGCCGTGTTCCTCTGCGGACAGTGTACTCCCGAACCATCTGGTCCATCACATCCACGCCACACTTTGTTTTGTTGTAAAGGGTGACAGTGTTTGGCTTCCTTTTGGTAGTGTTATCAGTCTGAACCACGCCGTGCATGCTGCTAAGAATATAGACTGTCTTCTTCCGTTTGGCCGCATACGCCGTCAGCGTGGCAGCAGAGGTTGAAAACACCTAAGAAATAAGATAAATTGTTATTTCCATAGCACTTTTACACACAATGAAACACATAAACATAGAACCACAAAAGACCTGCAACATACCTGAGTGGTGAATTCATTGCGATCTGTCTGTCTAGTGGATTGAGGAATTTCCCTGCGAATCTTGTTGACTGTGCCGAGGATGGTGGTTTTCCGTCTAAGAAGTTTTTGCGCAAGTGAAAGCGATGTGAAAAAATTGTCCGTGGTAACATTTCTGCCCTTGTCTAGGAATGGTTCCATCAGCCTCATTACTACATTTTCAGAAAGTCTCTCCCCAGTGGGACGACTGGGGTCCTTGCCAAGATATGGGAAGACATTGCAAATGTACTTGGATTTTAGGTCGCAAGCCACCCAAAACTTGATCCCAAACTTGTCCGGCTTACTTGCAATATACTGCAGGAAACTGCACCGAGTCTTTGATGGGAAAAGCTGTTCATCAACGGTGATATGTAGACCAGGGTTGTAGCACGTGATGCAGTTGGTGACAAATGATCCCCACAAACTGGAAATTGCAGCGAACTTATCAGTCTTTGCTCGATCACTGCGGGTGGACTTGTCATCAAAGCGTAGGTGTTGCATGATTTCTTGGAAGCGGTTTCGTGCCATAGTTCCAATTATCTGTGGATTTCCCAGGTTTGCTGACCAGCAGTCATTTAGAGATGGAACCCTGGTAACCCCCCGCAAGATGACAATTGCAATAAATGCCATTAGTTCAGGGAGGTCCATGAACCAATGAACATGCTCCGTTTGCTGTGCATGTTGAACAGTCCATTCTTGAATGCTACGAAGCATGTCAAGAGTGATGAAACACAGGAAGCTCCGAAGGCGACTCGTGATATTTCTCCTGGCCTTAGCCGTTGGCTCTCCATCTGCAGCGTACGCTTCTATTGGGGTGAAAGGGAGACAGGTCCCCACCTGTTCTTCACGCCACACTGTGCCATCTTTCGCTGTCTCAGTCCCCAAACAAGCTCTCTTTTTAGGTGCAGAAGCAGTCTCCTCATCTGCAGTGTGAACAAATTCAAATTGTGAGCAATGGGAAGGTCCAGTATCTCCTCCTCTGTATCAGAATAATGTCTGAAATATCTTACTTACAAACTACATCCACTTACTTATTTGAAATGAAATAGGAAATAACATGAAATGCAACTAACCGGAAGACTGATCAGACAGCTCTGAGTCCGAATCCGGCTGAACTTGTAGGTCTTCTCCATCCGAGTCACAAGGGTCGACTTCCCTCAGGATCATTTCCAAGGCCTGCTGAGTGGTGAGTCTTCTCTGCATTTTCTTTCCTTGGAGAGGAGGTCCGTACACCACAGAATTCTTCAGGGCAATGAAGGATTAGGCTAAGTGTAGTGAGATTGTATCATATATATAGGGCTTGGCTTCCTGATCAATGCTCCACTACCAAAAGGAAGCCAAGCCCTGCCACCCTTTACAACAAAACAAGGTGTGATCACATTGATGCCACAATGGACGACTGATCAATGCTCCACTACCAAAAGGAAGCCAAGCCCTGCCACCCTTTACAACAAAACAAGGTGTGATCACATTGATGCCACAATGGACGACTGATCAATGCTCCACTACCAAAAGGAAGCCAAGCCCTGCCACCCTTTACAACAAAACAAGGTGTGATCACAGGGCTTGGCTTCCTTTTGGTAGTGGACAATTGATCAGGAAGCCAAGCCAAGGTAAATGCAGACTACAGATACCATGGCAGTGCCAGGATTGTGAGTGATTGCTGAAAATGTTGAAATGTACTCACTCACTTTTTATAATTATTTGTAAAAATGTGTACAAATGGTTGATTTTTTGTACTGTTTTTATCAATAAATGTCAGCAACAAAGGACATACACCCATGTGTGTTGATTTCTCCCTAAGATGGCAAACTGAAACACTCCAAGTTGGTGACTTTTGGAGATTTGTTTCCCTGGATGATTGAGAATGCATCAAGATGAAACACAAAAGGAAGCTCACCGCTTTTAGCAGCTCCCCCACCCCCTCATCCACACACCCCCACTCCCCTCCCTCCAGAATTCCCAGGTAACAACCCAATTTACATATGAATGACTAGCCAATTTAGCTTCCACTTGCCTGAAGCTAAAGCTTAGCTAAAAGCCTACCAGCCATTTGGCTGGTGGCGGGTTTTAAAGGTAGAAAGGTAGAAGCCTGGGACTGCCAGTTAATGCACCTTATAATCCAGTCTGCCTTATGTATGAAAACAGACCCCTTCATCGACAGTTCGCCTTATAATCCAAAAAATACAGTATTTTTTAACAGTAGTATTTGTACTTCTACTTAACTACAGAATGTGTGTACTTTTGCCACCTATAGTTTTACCAAAATATGCTCAAAATTAAACTGTTTTCCATCTTTGGAGATCAGGATCCTGGGTATTTATGTGCATTTCTTGATCCCTTTTCTCCTGCCTGTCTCTTTGAACTATCTTAAGCCGTGAGTACTGATATTTCCATGTGCCTTTTATTTTATTGTGTGTTTACAAATGAAGTGGCCATTTGGTTTTAGGCCACAGCGCATGTGTCTGTCATGATCCAAGCAGGCAACCAGGGTTTTATTTTCAGATCATTAGAGACTGTTGTAATTAAGGTGTGCATGGGTGAGAGTGAGTGTGGGCCCACCATAGTGTTTAATTATCTAGTTTTATTTGGTATTAGAAATTGTAGTGAATGAACAGTAATGAATACCACTTCATCAGTGGTACATATTAAAATAACACTAAACCCAATTGAATTAACTTATTTCCTTTATTTTGTCCTGAAATAAAGTCAAACTGATGCATTTCAGATGAAATCCTTGTCTTGTGGTTTATGTACATAGTTCATATTTTGGGTTCTGAGCAGGTAATATCGTGAGTAACCTAAACTGTAGAGACCCAGGCCCCGCTCACAATTACATGAGATGGCTGTGACACTTTTTATTTGGAGAACTGGAACCGCTTTAATTATGGTTGCAATACAGATATGACCGGGTCACGTCTCTCAGTGAAGAATTATCCTGAGCAAAACAGGATTTTTGGAGCACACAAAGAGACTGGACAGTGTGGAGTCACCTGACAGCACACACAGTACTCTGCTTTAAAGGGAACAGTACATACTGGGGAAGCATTAACAGAATCAAAACACTAAAATAAAATAACTGACAGACCTTTCTGCTCCTGGTGGGATAGTTTTGCAGTTGCAGCCTTTTAGCCTTCGCCTCTTAGTAAATCTGTCTCTGAATAAGAGAATATTTCAGAAGAACAGTGCTCATCCCTCCTCACAGAAACAATGCTGAGCAGCAGTGAAGCTGATCTGGAGGCTCACAGCATCCCAACACCTTACTGAGACGCTTCATTCTGGGTTTTAAGTTCATTTATCACCAGTCCATGTTTGTGTTGTGTTAGGTGCAGTTTTTTGTATTTGTGATGAAAAACATGTTGGCTGTGTTCATGTGACTCATTCTGCCAGTTGGTGGTCTGTCTCAGAGAGATGGATCATGAGAGTACGTTCAGTTCAAAGGGAACATGAGGTTTCAGTACAGCTCATCGTGATGGCAGACTGTCACAGTGAACTCTTCAGAGGGAGCAGAAAACCTTCAGGTCTTCCAAAACATTTAACAAAGATGAAGATACAGCAGAGTTTAAAGGAAGTGCTTAGAAAATAAAGACCAGGAAGAGTCACATTTTCCAACATTTTCTGTAAACTCAGTAAAATGCACCAAACTGAGGCTGGTTCATGAGCACAGACACACTCAGTTTAATCTGTCAGGTGTTCACAGATTAAATGTTCAGATTTAATAAATAAATGCATTCAATTTGAGTGTCTGACTGTAAAACTGGTCTCTGTGTCCTGCTGATAAATGTGGGCTCTGAGACAAACCCACTGCATGCAGATAATTTGTGTTTATGTGTCCTCAGTTTCCCAGCATGCCCTGGCTGTGGTGGTGGAGGTGAATGAGGGGGAAAGATCTGTCCTGCTTCCCTGTCAGTACTCAGATTTTATACCTGATGACCTCACAGTGATGTGGACTCGCTCTGATCTTGATCCCAAATCTGTCCACCTACAACGAGAAGGAGGAGACGATCTTACAGGGCAAAACCAGCGTTACAGCGGGCGCACATCAATGAGGCCTGATGCTCTAGACACTTTAGACTTCAGCCTCACTCTGAGAAAACCAACAAAGACTGACAGTGGCAACTACACCTGCTCCATCAGCGATGAGAGAGAAGAACTGCGACTGAGAGATATACAGCTGCAGGTCAAAGGTCAGTCAGAACTCTGGGTGGGTTAGAGACTCCACATGGAGCCTGTTATCTATGTGACATCTCAGAGTAAGAGGTCAAACTGAAGTTTTGTAAATTGTTGTGACTAACCTGAAAAACCAGCAGCAACATGTAGCTCAGAGCTAACCTCAGTGCAAACAGGATGTCTCTGCTACAACAGCTGCAGTCTTTACTGCATGTGCAGGGTTACACTCGCAACATTTACACACTGTACACAGTGGAGAGCATGAGCTCTCTAAGCCTCACTGCAGCTCACAGAGCAGCAGGAAGTGTCCTGATGTTGTACAGACTAAGACTGGAGGAGCTGCTATGAAACGCAGACAGAGCAGAGACGGGTCATCATGTTTCATCCAGCTGGTCCTGATGTCACTGAGACTCTCAGGTTAATAACTGCTGTTAGGATATGTAGTGTAAATCATAGCGGGGTTCAGGTAACATTGAGGGGACTGCAGAGTTAATGGCATAAAACTGTAGGACTGATGTTTATATTTTGATATTGTTCTGCTTAAGTTTTTATCTGTTACATTTATCAACCATCATCTCAGACAGCTGCTGCCTGACGGAAACACTTGAAATAGTTTCGATAGACTTTCCTGTAAGTTCATTATACACAAACAAACTCATTTGAGAGACATTTGTAAAAAACTAAATAGAAAGCATCTTTTTCAGTGGACTGGCTGTCCCAGAGAAAGATCCAGTGAATATTTTATGAAACCATTCAAGAGTAAAAGCAAAAGATCCCAGACACCCTCTCTACTTCTAAGGTTAGACTCCAAACTTTCCTTTTTTGATAGAGATTATAGTTTTTACGCTTATAGGGCTATAGATAGAAACAATATCAATCTGGCCAATGGTAGAGATTTTGACTATAGCTCAATGGCAACTAAAGAGTCAAGTATAAGTCAATTAAGTACCGTATCTACATTTCTTTCATGTATGCTGTCCAATAGAGGTTGAACCGTTTGAAGTCCGGCATCACTTGTGTTACTGCTCTGACTGCTGGTGGTTGAGACAGACAATGTATCTGTTAGACTTGGAGAGGAGGGCTCTTCCACATGTTGCTTCAGGACAGTCAAATCTGAGGGTGACAAATAAAAATATTACAATATAAGATATCTACAATCAAAAACACAACACAACAAAGATGCCATTTGTGCACACAGGGCCAGTAAACTGCACGCTTTGATTAAAGTATACTTTCTCCCAGGAGAACAGATGGTTATCTTGTATTTTATTATGGTAATATACAATTTACATACCACAAGGTGTGAGTGTCACATAGTGTGTTAGGTGTGAGCAGTCGCGCAGCTTCTTGGATGATTGTGTTTCCAGGATGTCTGAAATGCATGTGATAAATCCAACTTACTGTTGTTACCACAGGATATTAGACAAATTAAAAATGTTTATGTAAGAGTAACTGTACAAATCAAATCCTTCAAAATCTATCAGAGCATATATTTACTTACCTTCAGCTGTATAGATGACAAAACACACGTCTTTGACTGCTGCAAGTGCAGGAAAGACATCCTCATCCACCTCTATACCCTGCTCATCCGTGACTTTCAGTGCTGCATTTTCTGGTATGAGAAACTTCTGCTGTACTGAAGTAAAATCATCACTCAGTTACTAACAACATTATCATTTCCTCTTTAATGACTTAGTACAAACCATAACTTACCTTACAGCCTTTTCTGGGACACTAAAACTTGAGCTCAGTTGAATCTTGTTCCCTCTGATAATCTGTCAGATGTTTCTTGATTGGAGTCCACTTGTGATAGATGCAGTTGATTGGACATGATTTGAAAGGCACACACACCTCTCTGTATAAGGTCCCATATTTGACAGTACATGTCAGAACACAAATCAAGCCTTGAAGTCTGCAGACATTAGTCAGCTCCAGTGTTGCTCAGTGGAGAGAGGAGAACCTTCCAGTAGGAGAGCCATTACTGCAGCACACCCGCAATCAGGGCTGTATGGTACAGCAGCCAGACTGAAGCTGCTCCTCAGTCAAAGGCACATAACAGGCTACCTGGAGTTTGCCAAAAAGCCCCTGAAGGACTCTCAGATCATGAGAAAGAAAATTTCTCTGCTCTGATGAAATCTATATTGAACTCTTTGGCCTGAATGTCAAGTGTCATGTATGAAGAAGACCAGGCACCACCTGGTCAAAACTCTCCCTACAGTGAAACATGATGGTGGCAGCATCATGCTGTGGGATATTTCTCAGTGGACAGAACTAGAACATTTCCTAAATGCACCAACGCATACAGAGACCTTGTTAATAACAACCTCCTCCAGTGCCCTGGATCTTGGACTGGGTGAAGGTTTATCTTCCAACAGGAAAATGATCCTAAACATAGAGACAAGATAACAAAGGAGTGGTTTGGGACCACTTTGTGCTCTTTGTTCTTCAGCGGTCCAGCCAGAGTCTAGGCAAGAACACAATCAAACATCTCTGGAGAGATTAGACAATGCCTTTGCACTGACACTCCTCATTCAGCCTGATGGTGCTTGAGAGGGTCTGCAAAGAAGAATAAAGAAAATGCATAATAATAGGTGCCAAGCTTGCAGCATCATACTGAGAAAGATGCAAGGCTTTAATTGCTGCCAAAGTTGCTTCAACAAAGTTTGCGAATACATGTTATTCTAATTTTTTATTTTTAATATATTTGCAATAATGTAAAGCATTACCCTGTCATTGTGAGGTAAATGAATCATGGGGATCCCAGGTATTGTGTGTGTAGAAATTTGAGGTGAGAATGAATGTTGGAATAACAAAATGTGGAACAACTGAATACTTTCCAGATGCAATTTTAGTTTTTTTGCTTTACTGTCCTCTCAGGCGAGCAGGTGGAGGTAAAGGTGGAGGAAGGGTCAGAGTCTGTGATCCTGCCCTGCAAAACAAAATCTGACCTGCCGGAGGACACCACAGTGGAGTGGACTCACTTTGACCCTGAACTGATGGTGGCCCAAGTGCATTCAAACAATAGTGATCACCCGAAACAGCTGGACGACCTTTACTGCGGCCGTGGAAAGATGAACAAAGACCTGCTGAGAACTGGAGACCTCAGTCTGACCCTGAAATACCCCACAGAGAGAGACAGTGGAGGATACATCTGCACCATCTACAGGGACAAAGACATCCTGAGACACAAAGTAGTGCTGCAGGTCAAAGGTCAGACATGTAGATAAAGACCAAGGGTCAGTGTTACAACAGCACATCAGAGTTCAGAAATCATGACATTATTTTTGATATTGGTCCACAGAACGGTTTCCATCCTGGGCCAAAGCTCTCCTGGTTCTCCTGGTTCTTCTTGTGGTTTCTGGAGGACTTTTATTTCATTACCGGCACTATTTCATGTCAGGTGAGTGTCTCCTACTACACTACCCATAATGCCGATGGTCAGCAGGTGTCCTCTGGTGGCTCCTTGACTGCGGCTCACACAAACTTGTTCCAGAAGCTGAAAGAGTTGAGAGTTACAAACAGCTGATACAGAGAGCTGAAGAGAAACTTCCAGGTTTGTTCCAGAAGTCAGAAAACCTCCTTCAGACTCAGTCATTGATCAGTGAAACAGCTCCACAACATGACTTTACTAAACAGTGTGTGTGCTTCACTGCATTGATCTGACACAGAGGCTGCATGTGGACTTTATTTATGCACGTAAAAGTCTCACTGGGATTAAAATCTCTTTTACAAGAGAGACCAGCGGAGGGCAGCAGAAGTTACAATGAAAACAACCAATACAACTGAACAGAAACGTGAATAATATATATTAACTTTACATTATGTTGTAGAAAACCAAGTATAATGTCAGCAGAAATGGTGACCTTTCTGTAGAAGTCCACGCCAAAGTTTTCTATGTGAAGAAAACTCCTCATTTACATAAACAAACTGGAATCTATCAGATGTGATTCAAACCACTGCAGTAAATTTCCTTTAATAACTCTGGTGTGTTTGCAGTAAAATGTTGTGGTCTACACTGAGGTCTGACAGGACAAGCACAGAAATAAGTCCTCTGTAACAGGTCATAAGGAGAACATTAGTAACCTTTACTACAGCTCATGTTGTGCTTTGTTGTCCTCTCAGTCCCCTGGGTGGGGGTGGATTCAGGGGTGGAGTCTGTCCAGCTGACCTTAAAAACCACAGTTTGCCTGCCTAAAGATGCTAAAGTGGAGTAGAAGGATGCAAACAACAGGAAGGTCCACATGTATGAGAACGGCTCTGACCAGCCTGAAGAACAGGACGATAAATACAAGAACCGAACAAAGATGAAGAGAAACTTACTGGAACCTGGAGACCTCAGTCTGACCCTGAAACACCCCACAGATGGAGACAACTCCACCTACACCTGCACCGTCTACAGCAGGGAGGGAAACATCCTGCTGAGGAAACAAGTGGAGCTGAAAGTCAGAGGTCAGTGCTGTAGATACAGGTCAAAGGTCAGAGGTCAGACTGATGATGGTGTTTCAGTCTCAGTGGGCTCCATCCAATAATGTCACAGTGTTAGCATGTCTGATGTTTGTGGCTGTTTTGGTTTTCATTTGATTTCCAGCCAAATGTAAAAGCTTCAGCAGATGAACTGTAGGAGCAAAGTTCATGTGTGAGACTTCATCTGAAAGGTAACATCTTCTAGTTTCTGAACATGTGTTTGTTTAGCATGTGGCTGAAACACAGGCTAAGCTAAGTCAGCTCAAATCTCAGTAACAACCTTCTTTGGTCCTCATCTATAATCAGTCATATCTGAGTCACAATAACTAGAAGATGATTTCTAGCAGAAGTGTGAACATCTCCACATCCTTTCTCCATGTTATCATCCAAAGCTGTGTGAAGTTTCAGAGCTCTGCAGCTAACAGAGACTTTCAGTTTGCTGCTCTCTTCCTCTGACAGCTCCATTCTTAGGGAGCGTTAGTTCTCTGTTTCACTTTATTCCACTTATTCAGTCTGATGTTCTCTGATCTGTTTCTCTTGTTTAGTGTCTTAAAGGCTGCCAGTGCCTCTCTTTGCTGTAACCAACCTTTCTCTTTATTTCTGAGCTTTTTAAGGACTTTAACTGATGCATCAACCTTTGAAAATGGAAAGAAATCAGTCAGATTCATGGCTGCATCACAGTGTCACATGTAGTTCTCCACATCAGTTGGATTATATCTATAGCAGCAAACAGCAGCTGAGACACAAATCTTTGTCTGTGTTAATAAAGTTGGATCAGTTCAAATAGTTTGTTGCTCTGCTTGAAAGCTGTAGTTTTTCTAATGCACCACCTTCATGTTTCCTTCATATTTGAATCCCCCTGTAGATACTGACAGGTAACCATGTCACACAGAGCTCAAGCCTTTGAATCCAGCTGTGACTGTTGATTTTCTATTGAATGGACTTTTTCAAATCCAGCTGTAGGCCTGTGTTTGTGAGCTCATTAACAGCTGTTTGTTTAGAGAGATGTGGTCCTCACAGGACAGCCACTACAAACATATGATTTTATAGAATATGATGCATTACTGCAGATTCAACACAATAGAAAGGATTTGAAATGAGCTCAGCCTTAAACATGTGCAGCAGTAATATTGATCCACAGACACTGATGGGAACATTTTTCTGCACAATAAGTACTTTGACTTTTCATACTTTATGTACAATTTGCCAGTACTGCAGTTTTGTGTGTAGTGAGGTGTTTTCATGGTGTTTTCTTGGTGCTTTTACTAAAGGAAGGCTTCTATCAAATTCTTCCACATGTTGTCAAACTGAGCTGTGTGATGAAGTGAGTGTGACAGAAACACTCAGACTGTGTTTCTCTGCTTCATCAAGTCAAATCTGGTCCTCAGAGACTGAATAAAGTCCTGTCCCACTAACAGCAGCTCCAACAGTCTGTTCACTGCTTTCTTCCTGTCAGTCTTCATCTTTCTGCTGCGTCTCCTCTTCACACTGACCACTTTCTATCTAACAGTGAGCTCCCAGTGAAGCAGCAGCATTCAGCCTCTTAGAGTCAACACAAATGTCTCCATCCAAGCTCATGTTGTGCTTTGTTGTCCTCTCAGTCCCCCAGGTGGAGGTGGATTCAGGGGTGGAGTCTGTCCAGCTGCCCTTCAACACCACACTTCACCTGCCTGAAGACGCTAAAGTGGAGTGGATGGACAGTTCATACACAAAGGTCCACGTGTATGAGAACGGCTCTGACCAGCCTGAAGAACAGCACCAGGTTTACAGAGACCGAACGAAGATGAATGAAGACCTGCTGAAAACTGGAGACCTCAGTCTGACCCTGAAACAGCCCACAGATGGAGACAACAGGACCTACACCTGCACCGTCTACAGCAGGGAGGGAAACATCCTGCTGAGGAAACAAGTGGAGCTGAATGTCAGAGGTCAGTGCTGTAGACACAGGGCAAAGGTCAGAGGTCATGCAGGAGTTTATTCTCTAAAAGCTTTTAGTTTGAATCTATTTTCAGTTCATTCAAATAAAATAAATTCTTTGATGTTTTGATCTAAAAGCCAAAAATGT